GGTATACTATGTACATAGATTAGAAGACTCAATATTTTCAAGAAGCCAGTATTCTCTAAACTGATATAGATTCAATAAGAACACAAACTGCTCAATTAAAAAATGGACAAGAAATCCTGACACTTCGCCAAAGTATCATAGCAAATCAGCACATGGAAAAATGCTCAACATCATTAATCTTAAGGGATATGCAAATCAGAACCACAATGAGGCACTACTAATACCAATATGAATACTTTGAAAGGTGAGTCATTTAAAATTCTACACAAGCATACCCATCTGCACTGTCATGTTAATTGGTACAACTACTTTGGAAAAACCACCTAGCTGTTTCTAAAACTACTAGACCTGTTATCTACCTTATGACCCAGCTATTCTGCTACCACAGCATTTACTCCAGAGAAAGGAAAGCATATGTTCATGGCAAGAGTTGTATACAAATGCTTACAGAATGGCTATGTTTTTAAGGAAACTGACAATCTTCAGAGCTGACAAGGATGTGGGGAAAAACTAGAAAACACTTGGAATGCAAAATGGCACAGCTTGGCAGTCTCTTTTCAATTTAACATACACTTACTTACCATAGGACCCAGAAATCTCAGATGAAACCCATAAATACATTAAAAAACCTAGATGATATACCCAAATCATAATAAAAAGGTTTTTTAAAAAAGTAAAAAACACCAAAAAGCAAAAACCTGTGCAGAAATGTTTTCAGTGACGTTATTTAGGATCACAAAAGACTGAAAACACTCTACATGTCTGCAACACAGTGAATGAATACACACAGTTTGATCCACACAGTAGAATACAACTCTACAGTAAAAGGGACGAAAATATTAATCGATACAACATAGATGAATCTCAAATGAAGTTAAATAGAGCCAAATGCAAATGACTAGATATTGAATGATTTAATTTATGACTTCTCTAAGAAGATGAAATATTAACAAAGAAAGAAAAGAAAACAGCAAGCTCATAGGAATAGAAATCAAATGAATAGTTAATTGCTAGGGGTTAGAAGTATGGAACTAATTTACCGGGGTCCAAAAGAATTTCTATGGGTGGTAGAAATGATTGAAAAAATCATACAAGTATATTAAAAATGAGTGAATTCTGCCATTATGTAAATTACACCTTAAAACATGACTTAAGACAAATTGTAAATAAACTAAAGTTCACATTTTAAAAGGCATAAGCAAAGCATGCCTAGTACTCACAGAATTAGCTATGAATTCAACAAAGAGGATAAAACAAAAATAAAAACCCTATTCTCTTCTCCAGACAAGATCCTGCCTGAATATTCAGTCAGGATTCAGAACACTGGGCTTAGTGCTTGCTCTCGTCTTTTTCCTGCCTTCTGCAAAAGAGCCTGTCCTCCCCAGTGCCCTCCCCGCCACCAAACGTCATCATCTGATGGAAGCAGCTTTTAATCTTAGGCCATTTTCCAGTCCACGCCTTTGGTGAACAAACACGATGGAGAATTCAGTGCTTTTGAGTCACTCCTTTCTCCAGGTGTCAAGATGCTCAGACAAGGTGGGGAGAAGGGATAAAAAAGACGTGATACGTGTTGCTGGAGGCATCATCCCTTGAAGAGGCTGCAGAACCAAGGGGCTAGCCAGGGACTCCCGCAGATTCCCACGGCACTTTTTGCAGGTACAGGTGTGCAAGTCCTCAGATCCTGGACAGGTTCCAACTTGGGTAATTATATTCTCTTTCCCTAAGTACCCCTGCTGTTTCTGGTGGATACAGAATTCTTATTCACTTCCTGTACTAAGCCCCTGTGCAGAGTTGCTGTGCAGCTGTTAAACAGCTGCCACATTCCTCTCCATATAGAGTCTCTAAAGCACTTTGGGATGAAAGGTGCTATATAAACACATTTTATTGTCATGTACTGGTTGCCTTTCCACTTAGTCGTAGGTTTTGTGAGGTTCTAACTATCAAATCTAGATCTATCTATATCCCATAGCACATCAACATTTAATTTCTTCCCCCTCCTGCTCCCCAAGCCCCTCTAAACAGCAAGGCTCTTACCACAAGGGTCCGGAGACAGAGAGTCCCTGCAGGAGCACGGGGATCCAGAGCAGCCACAAGGTCCCACACTTTTATTTTTCTAAGGATCAAAAAGGGAACAGATAGATTTCAGGTAAAAGCAAAATTAAAGGAACACAGGGAAGAGAGCAAAAAGTCAGAGCAATCTATATGCATGATGAATACAGTTTATAGGGTAAGGTCAGCCCACGGGAATATAAACTCAGTTCTTGAATTCACTCTTGGGTAGAACTTACTGGGCCTAACAGGAGAAAATGCATAGGATTAACCAAAAGGTAGATAGGGCAACGTTGCGTGAAGCCACATGAGGGGATCAAGAACAGATCTTGAATGTTTACTATTAGAGCTCACTTAGGCTTGGAAATCTACAACTCTGAGTTTTCACCTACAGCACAATGAAATATATTTTAAAAGGAAAAAATGAACAACCAAACAAAGAAAAAACCCAAACTATATTCTGCCCTGTAAACCTTCATCTAATCCACAATAAAAAGTTTGGGGACAAAAGGGAAAAATCAACAACTGAGAACTCTATTCATCTTCATCCTGGTTTGGTCTACAATGGACCAAATCATGTGTACCACAGGGCTCAGGTCCATTTAAAGGTCCTGGGGTTTATATAAGCAAGCCCTCATAGTTTGAATTCATTAAGAAAAATCTAGTCCTAAAAATCATTTATAGATCATGTCTCCTCAAAGAAAAGAACAGACAAAACCCAAGAAAGGTGGGTGCAGATCAAAGCAAGGCAATGAGAAAACATAACTTTGGACCTAGCTGGAACGTGTTAGCACACCCTGAACAATTTCCCTAGGGCATGACAGTGATGGCTAACTTAAAGCAGAGAGCAAGCACTTGCTGCGCTCTCTCCCGCTTAATGTATCCACACAGCCACAGTACAAGAACTCAGATAATGTAAACTTGTTTCTACTACCAAAAAAGGAGTGTCCAATACTGTCTGAACTTGTAGCCTTCCAATCAAAACCAGGCACCTTGACAACAAAAAGGAATGACAAAGAGGGCTTTATAAGTGAATATATTTCTTATATGCTGGGTGCTGATGGTTTTGATAGATATAGGGTGCATTTACAACATAAAGGGATTCTATAACCAATGAAAATGAGACTGAAGAAAATAACGGTTATTGAACTCCTGGTAACTGAAACGCTAGGAAAGTGATGAAGAGAGCTGTGCTTTTAGGAATCACTTTCAATGAGAACAAAATCCAAGACTACCATACGAAGCGCCAAAACCACTGTCTTCCAGTGTGGCATTGTTATTAATGGCATGGGGGTTTGTACATTGGGCTGCTAAATGTACAGCCAGCAGTTTGAGAATGATGAGGCGTTCTGCTCATGCAAAGGTGTACAGCCTTTGAACACAGAGAGGCAGTTCTACTCTGCCTAGAGGTCACTATGACCTGGGGTTAACTAGATGGCAGTAGTTTGGTTTGCTTTTTGGTTTATCCTGTTACACTGGGTTCTTTGCTCCATAAGGCTAAAAAACTCCTCGGGTTATTAATGACAAACATTTATAATTAAAATAATTTAGAAGACTATTTTAGGAAAGAGTAAACAGAGGAGGTGCATAGTTAGACAAAAGAAATATGCTGTCAAATCCTTTCTGTAAAATCTACCTGTAAGCTTATGCAGATAAGGAGAAACTATATGTATCATTGGAAGGCAAGAGGCACAAAAGACGTAGATTTTCTAAAAAGCCTACTTAGCAACTCACCCATCATAGGCCCCACTGACTATCCTCTTGTTATCAAAACGAATACAACGCACCAATTCCTCATGGCCTTCCAATACTCGTAAACATGCTCCACATTCTATGTCCCATAGTCTGGAAGAGAAAATTTGAGTCATGCAGATCTTTGTGCATTCTTTTCTGAGTCTGGAATGCTAAAAGTATTTTTCTTTGTATATTTTTAAGAATGCTCTAAAATAAAATCAATCAACATCCATATAAGAATGCATTATTTTTTATGTAATTTCCTTTCTGCCATGTAAGTCAGGAAGGATATATTTTTTTAATCTACAGCTCAAACAAAGCATGCATTTCAAAGCACAATGCTTTATATAGTTCTGTAACTAGGTTCTCCAGGTATAAAAAGATAAACGCATACATTTTTTGGGGGAAGGAAATGATCAAGATAAGAAGGAAATGTTTCCTGAAGTAAATGGTAAGAATGAGATGTTTTACAAAGAATCTCCACTCAGTCACGGACAGCACTGCTTTCCTGCCTCGCACAGAGCACAGGGCAGTCCTTCCTATATATATAAAGGAAGCCAAAGTCTCAAAAGCATTTGCATACCAAAAAAATTGCATACTAATTTATAAAACTGTATGACTTAGAACAAGCTGAGTGATTTCTAGCAAGGATCATTTCCTTAGATACACATAGCACAACAGCTCTACTTCTCCCCCTACCTACCCCTTGCAATAGGTTCAGATTTGAACAAAGGGCGAGGATGGAAACATTTTCCAAATTTTAATTGTCTGTGCAGTCCTCTTGGGGGTGGGGGGCCAGGGAACCAAAGAACACTTCTATATTTCATTAATTTCCAATGCAGATAACTCCCTGGCCAAGTATGCAATGTAGACAATACTGAAAATGAACACTTCTAGTACGAAACAAATCTTTTAAATCTGTGGCAAAGAGAGGAGGCTTTTTGGTATTTATTAGTTCTTCCCAACGCTATACTGGGGAGATGTAAAGAGAAGGGCCCTTAGTCTCCATCTTCCTGTCATCCTCGCTCACTTCCTCCTCGTTCAGACTGTACCTTTTAAATAGGTCTCTCTGGTGATGAAACTATTACGGGAAAGAAACACACCAACAAAAAGGCTGTCTCTGCAGGGTAAACTTTTGACCTGTAAGGAGCTACAGAAAGGAAAACGACTCTACTATAAACATATCTGTTGGGATCTACATGACTGGTTTGTCAACAATGAGTGGCAAGGGAAAGGGCACTTGCTGCTCACCTGATGGTATTGTCAGATGAGCCACTCACTACCAGCCTGTCTCTGTACTGCAAACAGGCGATGCCGCGTTTATGTCCATTTAAGGTCCTGACAAATTCACAAGTACTTGTGTTCCATACCTGCCACAGAAAAAGCATTGCCAGACAATTTGGTACTATTATTGGTAAAATGTGTGACAGCCAGAGTCTTGGGGAAGTAGAAATAGAATCACTTGGAGAAGTCAACAAAACATGTGACAAGTCCAACTGACGATAATCTAGGGCTAGTTTGTCTCTGCTGCTGCCACATGAGAAGTTTTCACAAATGATTTTCTCTCATAGGCTCATCTTTTTTCAAAAATGAGGTCAGATTGTGCAGATACATTTTCCTGGACCACATTTACCCCTTAGGAATAAAATGCTTAGCCCAAATCGTTGCGTAACTTCTCTTGCTCATTAGCCTTTTACAGAAACTAGCCTCTGAATTAAATATTAAATTATGTTTAAATATGGATCTGTCCTTGATACAAATGCCACACAGATTGAATATTTATTGGAACTTGGCTAGTGTTCAATTTAAGAGATTTCTGGCTACTTACTTTTATAGTCCTATCCCCAGACGCAGAAACGATGTACTTATCATCAAAGTCTACCACATTGACAGCAGCTCGATGTCCAACCAGCACCCTCCGGAGGGTGATGTCAGTTGGGGAGGCCATATCCCAAACAGCAATAGAACGGTCTTTGGAACAGGTCACCATCATGCCATTATTGAAACGCAAGTGCAGAACTGCTTCACAATGGTGGATCAAGGTGTTTAGCATTTCACCTGTATTTACATCCCATACTCTGGAGCAAACAACATTTAAGGTTATCTGAGGTTAAGATGGCGCTACAATCCATGGCCAGTATATGATGGCCATCCCTCACTCATTCATGATGATAAAATTTCTGACATCCAATCTGATACCACTAAAGAGATACATTTTTAACTGGGAAACTGCTTTATCCCAGTAGTATTGATGCCTCACTGACAGTCCTCAGGAACACAAGATGCTCTGTAACAGACGGACTTACGTATGGGATCTGGGATTCAGGAGCCTAGATTAAGGCTCATGAGTATTGACTTCTAAGTGTTCATCCCTGTCCTTTGTATGGGGGTGAGGATTAAAAATCGCCTTTCCATTGTAAATCCGGGCTTCAAAGCAGAGTGTGGGGATCCTTGGCTAGCTCAAGAATTTTGTATGTTAACAAAATAAATTTTGGGTAATGATATACATCATAGTACTATTTTTGTATATTTATTTTGACTGTCATAATACATTTTTCTTTGCTTTTCCAGTTTAACCTTCTTTTTCAGAAAATCATGTTTCCCTTATCTAATGAAGGATGCTAGTGGCTCCCTCCCCCAAGATGATTTCAACTCCCTTGATGTATTATTCCACAAAGACCAATCAACTAAAAGTGTTGAGAACGAAGACACCTGGATTAGTTATGCAGCTTTCGCTACTCAAAAAGGACAACATGGAATGGTAAACATTTAACTTCAGAGAATCTAACGATGCAGCTCCCGGTTATTTTAATTTTTGTTTAGTGTTTTTTACTTTTTTTAAGAAGTTACTTTTGATGCATTATGTTTGCTAAGTCCTTTAGCTTTAGGCAAAATTCCTAACAGAGGTTTCCAGCAGTGCTGCCTGTACCCAGAACTCAAGCTACACTGGACTCCAACAGCATAATGGCTGTGTCATCAAATCACTTATGCCTCTGGAAGCTGACTGAGGGCCCCGTTCCCTGAGAGAAGCTTGCAATTAAAAACTGCAGGGACGGCAGAGGAGGGGCTGGCGGAGAGAGAGCATTGTTCACCTATACACATTTTAAAGGAGATAATGCAAACTTGCACTTCAGTTTTAACCACCTGAAAGGAAAGCTTCGTTTCATTCAAGTCATTCCTCTGTGAGGGGGTTTTTGTAAGGAATGCAAAGTTTACCATAGAGACAAGAAAAGTTTCTATAACCAAATCAAAACAGAATGCACCATATTCCTTAAATGTACAAAAATGTAAATTTTCTTTAATCATTACTAAATCAAGTTTTCCAGTTCTAGATGGTCACAAGCGGTGAGGGAACAGACGAATTAGGCCCTTTAGCTAGGACATTCTGAACCATAGCATACAAAATTACTATCTACGAATAACAGAGTTGATCTCATGTTTTAGAGTTCAAAACTAATTTGAAATTTCTACCTGACAGTGGAATCTGACGATCCAGTTATGATCACCCTCTCGTCATACTGGAGACACAAGACAGAACCTGTGTGGCCTGTGAGAATTCGCTTGCATTCCAGTGTGCTTTTATCCCAGATCTAGGGTGGCAAACAAGAAGATTATGGCGATAAAGGGGGTACTGTGGAGACTTGTTAGCTCTATTATATGTTTGATCCTCCAAAGAATCAAAGCCCAGAGTAGTGTGGAATGTATGCTTTCTATAGGTAAAGCTTAAGGACCTATATATATGTGGCTGCAGTACTAATGCAAACTTTATCCTTTTCATTAGGGAACAGGGTAGCCTATAATTAATTACGTGAGGGTCAAAGGAGCAGCAGTCCACTGAGAACACTTTAAGAGGGGAATTTCATCCTAGGACCAACCAGCTGCATGTTCTTCTGAGGGAAGCAGCTGTTCTTTAAGGGAATGGCTAAAATCAACACATTTCAGAAATGATGCTCTGAGTTTACAGTTTGGATGTAGTACCCTTGCCCCTCAGATGTTACTGTTGCTGCTGGGTGCTGTCAAATTGGTTTCGACTCTCAACGACCCCATAGCCAACAGAACGAAACACTGCCTTGTCCTGTGCCAGCCTCACTCTTGGTCTTATGTTTGAGCCCATTGTTGTAGGCACTGTGTCAGCCCATCTTGTGGAGGACCTTCCTGTTTTTCACTGCCCCTCCACTTTAACAAGCACGATGTCCTTTTTCAGCGACTGGTCTCTCTATCCTTGCCTCTAAGGAGCATCCTGGACATACTTCCTCCAAAATAGATGTTTGTTCTTTTGGCAGTCCATGGTACTTTCAATATTCTTCACCAAAACCCTAATTCAAATGCACTGATTTTTCTTCCTTATTTAATGTCCAACTTTCTACCCGCCTGCCCCCCTCCCCCAACTTTCACATGCATTTGAGGTGATTGAAAATACCCTGGCTTGGGTCAGGTGTATCTTAGCTATCAAAGTAACATCCTCGCTTTTCAATACTTTGAAGCAATCTAGTGCAGCAGATTCACCCTTCAGCTCCCCGGTCACAATCGAAGAGACCTTACCTTGATTGTATTGTCTCGAAGGCCGCTCACGATTTTCTGATCATCGTACTGTAAACAGTAAACTCCTTTGCTTGTTTCACTTCGGCAATGGATTCTCTGTAAACTATGTCTTCCACATCTCCAATTAGATTCTATTGTCTGAGGAGAGGGATGGTCAAGAGGCAGTCAGTAAGAAAAGACCTGAACCAACTGTTCTAAGATCTTTCACCGCAGTCAAGGACACAGGGTTAATGTTTTATGCTATGGGATATATAGGAATTAAGGTGAACAGAAAATACAGTTTTTATAACACCACTATCTAAGATTTAAAACCTATTTCCATTTGTGATAGGATTCAAAAATTAGCTTCTAAAACGCTCCTGTATAAACTGAATATAACTATTCAAGAAATAACAGACTGGTGGACAGAGATTGTTCAGCAAGAGAAGGCAAGCTGTGAACCATGAAGTTATGTGCTCAGTACTCTTCTTGAAGAGGGTGTCCAGTGAATTTCCATACAGAGCAGAAGCCATCGGAGGATCAGCTTATAAATGTACTTTAACAGTCTCACTGGTATTTCATGGTGACGTCAGAGGTTCTTTCTCTCTCTCTCTCTCCCATCTGTTTACCTACTAGCATATAATTTTTTAAAATGTTATCTGTTAACAATTTATCTGGCAAGTTTCTACCCTATTTACTTTTTAATCCACACCAATAAGTTGATATTAAACTCATGTTAATAAGCTTTAATTGATTTGGTGTGACAATACTGTTACTGAAGAATGCTAATAATTCCCTTGCATTTGGCAAATACCCAAATATACACAGATTCTTACCTCAATGTCTTGTATAATTTTAGGATAAAGTGCTCTATAAAAGGAGTTGGGAGGAGCAGTCCCATCAGGAGGTTTGTTTTTGAATAAATACTGTCCCCTAAAAAACAACAAATATTTCCCAGTGAAAATAATATTATTACACATTTATAAGGAATGTCTTCAAAGTAAATAGCCCAATGTAATCTCCATTAAATATGCCTGGAGAAGTGGAAAGTGAGCCTGATCTCAGGAGTCTCCTGTCAAGGAATTATTCTGCATTCGTTAAGGAATTCATCCAACATTTTCCTTCCTTTTTATAAAACACTGGTGAGTGGGGACGGAGGGGACAAAGGAGAGCAGATATCAAAGAGCTCAAGAAGAAAATGCTTTGAAAATGATGGTGGCAGCAAGTGTACAACTATGCTTGATCTAATTGAATTATGGATTGCTATAATATCTGTAAGAGCACCCAATAAAATGACAAAAAAAAAACCAACAAAAAAAACCCTGGTGATTCCCAGTTATAGGGCATCAAAATAACCGTACTATGTGCAATTTGTTTTTTAGGATCAGGAGTTGTTTTTTTTTGACTCCAGAAAAAAGGAGCATCAAGCCTTAGAAAATATTATAAAATCAATAGACAAACTGTATAATCTTAGATACTGTATTTTACACAAATTAAATGTTTTTCCATTTTTGCAAATTGCTCAATCCCTCACATTAGTTTCCTATGCACATTATATGCCAACTGTGTGCTAGTTTTAGAAAATCTTTATTGTAGTTTGAGTGAAAGTTTACAGAATTGGCTCTCCATGTAACAATTCATACGGATCTCGTTTTGTGACACTGATTGTAATCCTCACGATGTAGCAGCATACTTCCTATTTTCTCTCCTTATTTCCTATCCTTTCCTGCCTTCTGAGTTTTATCCCTTTTTGATCTCGTATGAGCGACTGTTCTAAGAAGTGTGCACCTTCCTGGGGTTGTTCGTCTTGTAGGCCTGTCTATGATCTGGTTGAAAATTCTGTAGCAGTAACTACTGCCTTTTCCTCCCTGAGGGGAAAACTGGGCCAGGACAATGGACACTAGCAGAAGTGCCCCGGTTGTGGAGCTCATGTTTTTTAGGTCTCTACTTGTGGGAGTGAGGTATATTGGTTGCTCAGGTAGTGAGGCTGCTGGTGACCGGTGTAGCAAAGCTTTAAAAGGCATCAGATGGTTTAACAACAACAAACCCTCAGAGGGACATGGGAATGTCCAGCGGCGGTATGACAGAAGTTGAAAAGAAATGCCTAAGAGCACTCTTGCTGTCAAGGCGAAGGCAAGCAATTGGCTTTCACAGGTGTGTTCCTGGCTATGCACACATGCACTTGCATTTTCTCGGCTTTCCTTGATTCCAGTGAGCAACATTTGTTAGCCTCCCCCAATCTTATGACAGCACATCCCTGGAATACTCATATCCCAAGCTAGATCTTTGCTACAAAAAAATCCAGCAAATGGCAATCGCATCCTGCTGGGTAAAAAATTTAATTCCTCATTCTGAAGTTAAGAACCCACCAAACACGGTGTGGAAGCTAGTAAACCCCACTATGGGTGTACTAACTGCTGTTCTCACTGGCACGGTGCCTTGCAAAGTGGAGATAGGCAGAAATGCCTCTGAGTGTAATCCTGGCACCAGAGAAATCATGTTTTCTCTGGGCCAGTCATCCACTCCTCCCTCTATAGCTCCATTACAATGTAATTAATTGCTTGGTGTCTCCAGGAGCGCTTCTCCCCTGCCCTTTCCCTATTACATACCTTGAAAATTAGTTGAGAAAATTTCCTATAAGGAAAGTAGATGGCTCGCATTGCTGTGTTAATACAGAAAGGGAAAAACTTACAGAAAAAGAAACTAAAATATAAAGGGTTTGTTGTTTTTTAAGGAGACTAACAGGAGCAAGAGAAATAATTTATCAACATAAAGAAAAGTAGAGATGGGACTCATTTAGGGAGTGATTCTGGCTTAAAGGTATGTTCTTATAATATAAATATCTGCAGGCAAATAAGTATCCACATATATCTTAAAAGAAAAGATGGGGAATTCAGTGGATAATTTTAATAATTTCAACTCCAAAATTCTTCAATGGGTTAGAAATCACTATAGGCCTTTTATACACAAGGAAATCAAATGTCAGTGTGGTTAAGTTAACCTGTCCAAGGTCACATAGCTAATACGTAGCTGACTTGGGATTTGAATCTAGATCTGGCTCTTGGGCCCACATTCTTAGCCATCCCATTGTCTCCTATTGCCCACCATGGCTCAAAGATTCCTGTGTCCCTTTTTATCTCTGGCACAAGTACTCCATGCCTTTCTCCATGTACACTGGCTCTACCTCTGCCTTCTCAGGAGGACTGATATGAATGGATTTTTTAAAAACTCCCACTACATTTACCATAGGAACCTTGGTGGTGTAGTGGTTACGTATTGGGCTGCGATCTACATGGTCAGCAGCTCGAAACCACCAGCAGCTTATGGGAGACAGACTGGGCTTTCTACTCCCGAAAACAGTTAGTCTTGGAAATCCACAAGGCATTGCTCCGAGAGTCAGCACTGACTCGATGGCAGTGAGTTTGGCATTTGGACATTTACCATGCCTCAATCAAGTATTGGAAGGTCTTCAAATCCAAAGTGCTACAAAAAAGGATCATGAGGTGTTGAAAACTGGTTTCCCGGCCTGTCTTGATGCTGTAAGTCAAAACCTTTTCAAATGGAAGCTTTCTGACAGCAGGGACCACTTCTATATGAAATGCCTAGTGCCTATGAGAGTATGGGTAACATGATAAATGCTCAACATTAAACTCAGAATGTCGTCATAAAATGGGATCTGCTGATTAAGAAAATGGACTTTTCCCAAGTGGTCTTTTATTATACTTTTAAGAGTTACCATTGGTGAGCAGAGAAAATATATATTCTGCATTATTCAAGAAATAAAATGACAGAGTTCAAGTCCTATGGGCAGACTATCAAATCTTTTCTGTTGTATAAAGTACAACAGAAAAGCAGAAGTGAAGCCTTACGGACTCAAAGCTTTACTAGAAAACCATATTGACTTAGTCGTTTTTGGTTAGAGGAAGTGAAGGGAATTTTCAAAGAGAGCATATGGGGAAGCTAAGGCACAAAGGCTTTATTAGGTTTATGAAGACAACTTGAAAGGAGAAACTGATCAGAGGTTAGCATTGAAACACGGAAGCCAACACAAGAAGGCAACGCGTCCGTACAAATAAAAGCTGTGACAAGAAAACCAAGAGGGCACTAGAGAAGGTCTTCATGAGATAGACCACCATTTATAATTTCATGGGGTTACTTCAGGATAATTAAGAGGAAAAATACGTTTTAAGAAAGGAGACTATAGTCAGAACTCTGAAGGATATTTGAAAGTAAAGAAATTGGTTTCTGTGTTTGAAGAGATAGGTGGAAGAGTAGTCAATTTGTGCTGGATATAGATTATTTCTCAGCTACGCCTTTATACATCCTTTTAAAAGGCCTCCCCAAATAATCTTTTCAATAATCTTCTATTTTCTTTGTAGCTAAATGACAGATCTTGCTGTGTAGCTTAGTGCCAGTCCAAAGCAAAACTGTGGACCTTATATTCACCCTCATCCACAAAAAACAGCCCATTCAGTTCTTGCTTTCCCTTTCTGCTCTCCTTGAAACCTGTATTCCAAAATACTCTAGGCCCACTCCAATGTCTAGTAAGGATTTACTTTCATTTACAGACCAAATAGTAACAACGTGCCTTTTAACAGGGAGCAGAGCCTTTATGTTGATGGGGTTTGGAAATAAATTTCTTTAAGTGAAATTCCAGGTCAGAAGTTATTTGGAGGAAAATTTGTTTTTTTGCCTTTTTAATAACTTTCTTTTTGAAGAGTAGAGGTATATTCCCAATTGCTCTGAAGTTTTTAAGTAAGTAACTGCTTGTTCTTATTTCTAATACTGGTCCTGGAATCCTTAAAATTTATGCACTCTGAATGTGATAAAATTATATAGTTGCCTTTTTAATTATGAAAATATAAAACAAGCTATAGTTTTCTATCACAGAAAAGGAAAAACATATTTGGGAACAGAATAACACAGAATAGAAACAACCATATACTTTCATTTATATAATTTTTATTTAGTCAAAGAAGTGTAGTACATGATCTGATTAATTAAATTTGAGATATAATTTCATCCTAACAGCCAAACCAAGCCAAGTCCTTTGCCATGGAGTCCAGTGACCTGTAGGACAGACAGCACAGAACCCCCTCAGAGGACTTCCAAGGACTTCACAGAAGCAGATTGTCACTATCTTTCTCCCCCAGCCGGTAGGTTCAACCTGCTGACCTTTGCATTAGCAGCTGAACCCTCTCCCTACTGGGCCACAGAGTTCCTTCTTAATAGCTAATATCTCCATAGCATTTAGTGTAATATTAAGGGTTCATTATATTATGCAGTAATGAATTTCAAAAGTGCACACACACACAAAGGGCACTGACTATATTTTTATGAAAATTGTGGATCCATTATATGTATCTCTATTTCAAAAGGATTTAACCCTTTTGTTATCTCCCTATGATCCAAGATAAACAACTGGTAAGAGGAATTTGGAAGGAGTCTGGGAGGATCTCAGAGAGCTTATATCTTCTTGGAGCATTGTTTCTATCACCTAAAAGACTATGCCACCTTGATTTTTTCATACCAGATTTTCTTATAGTGACGTTCAAGAGACGTTTTCTGAAAGAAAATTATCTATAGATGACATCTTCCAGAAGTTCTAATGAGATGGTGTCACTGTGTTAAGAGAACAACAGAAAATGGTGAAGTCTCTCAGGCTTTCAAGAATTCAGAATCAAGCAACAAGTGTGCAAAAATAGGATTCTTAAGAAGAAACCATGATTTTTACTAAATTCCATCTTTCTTCTTCTTTTTTATGGTTAAGAGTCCTCATGCTAGTTGGACATTAAAAATATATATAACTTTTTGCTTACACAGGTGATAAAATATCAGAGGGGTAGTAGGCTCAAAGGCACGACATTTTCTGAAGGAAAAAAAAAACCCTTTGTCCTGGATGATTTTAGGAGGAAGCTGGATCTGATGGTTTCCATATGATTCAGAGCTATCGACTTGCCTTATAAATGGCTCATCAGCTCTTTTTCAAGATACCAATTTCTGCCAGAGGACAGAATACTTTAAGCAGGTGGGCTGGCCAGTTTTCCTTTTTAACAAAGCAAGATTAACACAACATTGTCATTTTATGAGTGACTGGTCAGAAGGAAAACTGCTGAGTACATGAAAACCTATTCTTTAGTTTTCTTCTTCTTTTTTCTATAAACCAGCAAAATCATTCTATTACATGGTAAAGAACCTCATTGGTTCCCAACAATCTTCCAATGACTGAGTAGCCAGGTCCTGAGACTGTAATAGTGAGGAAGTTAAAAGGCTCACCACCCTCTTCTTTCTGCCAGGCCTCTCCAGAGAGAATCCGTCCTGACCATTCTCTCAATGAGCTTCTTCCATAGCATGCCATCAGATGTCACTCGGTACCATTCCTTGCACACAAGTTCAGCAGCACATAGAGATTTGGCATCCAGGTATGACAGAATGTTCTCAGCAATGTGATCCAACCCTCGAGCTTTCAAACATGAGAGGGGGTGAGAGGAGCAGGCAAAGAAAAAGAACAGAGGGGGTGGTGAATGATATTTTACAAAAGGTTCTTTAAAACAAAACAGCATTTGTTCTTATGTGAAGGCACACCATTGTCCCTAGTGTGGTCCAGTTTCTTTTTCAAACAGAGACTTGGGTAAAATGAGTGTCAATAATTTTTCCATAAGGTTACAAAAATGAACAATATTTTCCATCTTCCTTTAGATAAGGAAGTTAAATCTAACAACCAGCAACCCCCCCAAGACATTAAAAATAAAAAGGATTCCAGAAAACAACTCACATCTATCTATATGGATTTCAGCACTAGGGGATGTTCTATGGATGGCATCTCAAACTCTGTGATTCAGACCCTCTCCCCCCTCCCAAATCTCTATATTAGGTCCATTTCTCATTCTGTTTCTATTACTACTGCAGTTTCAAAGCTGCTCAGTAAAAGAAATATCCTTTAAATGTACTGGGGGAGAAGCACTACGTCAGAATGAGCTAGGTCAAGAGAATTGGGGGCATGCAGAAAGTAAAGAAAGAAGGAAGAGATAGAGAGTGGTAGCAGAACATCCCAAGAGGAAAGACAGGGAGGATTTAAGTTCAAGTATAGGTTTAATTTCTGATGATTGAAAAATTATATTTGAGAATAGTTGCTGCTATAAAGCCTAAATGACTGTTGACTGAAAATGGAAGGAAAAAGAAAACAAACACCACCACC